ATAATTATTTTTGAAATTATATTCTGAAACGGTAAATTAGCATGTATGTCTCATAAACTACCTATTATAGCTTATATAAATGTTTCGTTGAAATAGTGAACCTTTTGTATACTATTATCAGATTTGCCATGATAATAAAATGAAATGAAAATTATATATGTTCGTTTATATAATTATACCCTTTTTTCTCGACATGTTACAAAAGGGTTAAAGTTTTATTGTAATCAAACATGTATCCATATGTATATTTATATTTTGTAAAAATATAAATGTAACAGTTTGTATTTTAACACAAATTTTCCTGTGTTTTACTTGCATTCCCCCCTAAAAACATATAAAAATCGTGAAAACTGTAGGGGTATGAACTCATCTCGAGTGTGTGTTCTTGGTTGGATAAGAAGTGATAACGATTATCCTCGGGTTAGTACACGTGTAAATAGTCGTATCCTAATTTGTTTTAACAATAATACCGTGTATGAATTAGATAAACTAACATTTAAAATGTTAAATAACACTAACTTATGTAAGAATACTTACAATATTCCTAAGAATCAACTTGAAGTATTTAGTTTTCCTGGGAATTGTTTGAAGATGTTCTTGGAAAATTATGAAGATTTGAAGAAATTTATGAAGATGTGAAGGTATTCGTATGAGTTTTGCGAACAAATGTTAAGGGATTTTGAAGTTGGAAATGAGATAATGGAAGGGGTTTTCGGCCATCATATATATATATATATATATATATATATATATATATATGGGGTAATATTGATTTGACACTGTGAGAACAAAATCAATGCGCAGAGACAAGGTTTGAGAACTCAAACCTTGAATGAATGCTTGATATCAATGTCTGCTTAATAATGGATGTTCAAGTCTAAACTGGAAAGACCAGTCAAGTCTTAGATAATCAATTCAACAAAATGATCAAGACATTAATTAAGAACAAGTGAATAGTGATCAGAGTAAAGTTAATAAATGAGGAACAAGAGGAATGTTTAAATGTAATAAGAGTAAATGCCAAAAATGAGAGGAAAGATCCGTAGTTGACTTGTATTGAATGCTCCTATTTAAAGGAGAGAATGTTACAGCGAATTAACTCAGGAGTTTACATAGGACCGGACAAAAGATATAATTCTGACATTCTGATTGTCCTAAATCAACATTAGACTAAGTCCTATGAAACGTTACATCAAAATACAAGACAAACGTAATAAATGCATAACAGACAAATTAACTTCATTCCGGACAAGTGATGTTCCGGAGATGAAAGTTTGTTTCCGGATCGATAAGCATTCCGGACTACAAGATCAGTTCCTGAATGCGTTCTTCTTTAAAATTCTTCACTCCCTTTCTTCAGCTCCGGACAGGTTCCGGATCATATCTTCTTTCGGAACCAACAGCCTTCGGAATATGTACTTAGGATTGCTAGAGGTTCGCTTTCAGGTTCCAACAGACACTTGCATTGAAATGTGTATTTTATCACTTTGGAATGTGTGCCACCATTTAAATTTGGGATTTCGGCCTTATCCTCACCGAAATCACTTTGATTTCGGTCTAAAGTCCCCACCGAGAACTAGGTCTTTGGCTTAGAGGGATTTCGGTCAAGGGATGTTCTCGGTCTCGCATGGTTCTCGGTCCAAGTGGGGTCCTCGGCTAAGAGGGTTCTCGATCTAGGGAGGGATTTCGGTCCTAATGGGATTTTGGTCTAGCCATGGGATTTGATTCCCAATACCGAAAACCCTTAAAGTGGGGTATAATTTATTATTAAATTTTAACTATTTGATTTTTGTTATAACAATTGACTTTTATTTGACTTTCTTTGACTTTTATTGACCCGAAATAACCGGTTGTTACACATGAGTATAAAAGCGCCCGTCAACAAAGTTTTTTATTTCATTAATTGGTTCGTTTTGTTGGGGATGGGTGCTAGTCGAGGTTCAAATGTTTTAGCAATTGCAAATCAAACACAATCCACATCTTTAGAAATATACTTGAACAAATATTTGATCATCATGCTCCAATCACAATACTCGATATTAATCTGAGCCTCAAAGCGTCCACAACGTATCTTATTGTAGGGGAAAACATAAAAATTATCAAGAGGAATGCCGCTTTTAATAACTTGATGACCACCTGGAGATCTTTTATAGTGAATTTATCCTACTTTGTCAAACCATTTATTATGTTCGTATGGTTTTGGGAAAGATTTTGAGCACGTGACTTCGCACATACATGGGGAGTTCATTCTCGAGGGGCCACACAGACCATGCATCATGCATTCAATAACTGTTTTATGAACGCCTCAACCTTCATTTGGAATACTCTTGCAATTATGTCAGATATATTTTGGGCACTCGTGCAATTAATTTGTTGAAGGCACCATCTTAATTCTTGCCATTTTACATTGCATGTGAAAGTGATGAAATATTGAGGCTTCCCATGGACTATGCATATAGCTAAGGCATCCTGATAATGCTTGTACATGTAAAGACTCTACTAATATCGCTAGTCATCTCGTGAATGCAAGCCATACATAATCAAGGATAAGATAAACACTCGAATAGATGTCACTACCCTAAGGCCTTTATCAGACAAGAACAAACAATAAGGTCGAATCAAGAATTCTAAGGCTATATAATACCAATTATTTACAACTCTAAATCATTCATTTAACATCCAGTAACATTAGCATGAACTTCAAATAGAACATACCAAACAAAATTTAAGGAAACAAGGCATCATAAAGATCATACAGTTCTATCTTGCAATTCCATCCTTAGCCTACATACTAACATGTATTTCTAACAATTAACATATCAGTAGATATATATCAAGTATGGATATTTCTGGAATCACTTCCCTTTTTGAGCTCCGACTCATTGTACATATCACATCACTTTTCCTTTTTATTAAATTCCTTTTCGAAAATGTTTGTAAAAGTTCTTAGATCCTAGGTTGAGTTTGGAATCACACGAATGTTCATCCAAATCCCTCAAACCAAGGCTCTGATACCAACTTGTAACGTCCCAAATTTCCACAATAAAAAATTCATTTTTAATAAGATAAATACCCATTTTCATAAATTTATAATCAAGGTAAAACATTTGTTCATAAAACCATAATCCAAATCCAAGATCCGTGTATAAATAAAAATCATTGCGAAAGTCTCAAAACATAAAAATTGCTGATGGGTGGGTGTACAGTCACACCTGCGCCTTCCCATGATCAGAAGAAGTACATGAAAAACACCTAATCCACATCTATAAGCCAAAACTTCGCGAGTTCCCTAAAATATCATATACAACACATAATAATTTTACATAACCCTAACGGGTCTGTTTTAACCCAACATGTTTGTTTCAACCGAACGAATATGTTTTAACCCCGACATCTATATTAACCGAACCGGTCTGTTTCAACCCAACAAGTCTATTTCAACAAAACGAGTATGTTTCAACCCAACATGGCTATATCAACCGAACAGGTCTTTTTCAACCCAACATGTATATATCAACCGAACAGGTCTGTTTCAACCCAACATGTATGTTTCAACCGAATGAAACATGTAAACATACAAGCAACAAGAAAGATCCTACTGGTCTAGCTAAGAATACAATCATGTCATATTAACTATGTTATAAGTAATACAATGAGAAAAACTCACCTCAAACAAAATCCAGGAAAACACAACCACACGCAAATAAATGCAAAGGTCGGTCTCATGAACCACCTAAACACCAAAAAGAGACCAAAACTTACTCTATAAGTCAAACCTAAAGTTTGACCCAAAGTTAAACTTGGCGAAAAGGTAAAAAATCTCACAAAGTAAAAATCTGAAAAGTCTGAGGCACCCATTGCCCAACCACGGCACCCCGCGTCTAGAAAATGCCAAAATAATCGCGCTTTGATAAATAACATACGTGTCTCTAAATAAATCAAAAGCGCCCCGACACCCTCCAAAAGATGCGCCGCGTCCAGGTCTATAACCAAAGGGTTTTAGACTTAATCCATTAAGTCAAGGCTTAAGTTGTCAAATTTGATTCTCAGTAGTGTATTAATGGATACAATTTTCAACTTTATCCATTAAGATGCTCAAAACAAGCAAGATCTAGAATCCTAGTTTCCAAAAAATGCAAGAATGCATCTTTCTTCATGCATGGAGCAACGAGAACACATGCAAGCACTCAAAGCTTCTTAAAAAGGTCAAATCTAAAGTAAACATGATTCTAAGATCATGGAGTTTTTCGGACTCCATAAATGAAGCCATAAAAGGACCAATTGTTCATAAAATGGACCAAAACACCAAATACTCTTAGATCCAACGATGAAACACAATAAATCATGGATCTTTGTGACTTACAGAGGTCCAAAAGTATAGAGAATGAAAGGATCTTCAAGTTTCAAGATCCCAAGCATCACCTTTCTGTATTCCTTCACCAAAAAGAAAAGCACCACAAGTGGTTCAAGGAGAAATGATAAGCTCACAACACTCAAAGGAGGCTAGAGTTTCTCTTAAGGGACGTTCTAGGGTTGATAGTGGATGAAAATGAAAAACCTTAGGGGTTAATGACCTTTAAATAGTCCTTAAAATCTTAACAAGACATTCAACCCATGGGCCTCGGAGCCACACACCTTCAATACACCTGTTTTTCAGATTTTTGCTATTAATTCCTTCAAGCTCGATCTTCACTCCTACCTTTCCTTGGATTTTAAAACCACCAATCAAGGTATGAGAAAAGCATAACCGAGACTCAAGTGTTACAAAGTTAAGAATTTTTATGATATTATCACTTAAAAAAATATTATAGTACTTTTTAAAGAATTAGATAAACATATTTGGGTTTATTTGTTTTCGAGTAAAATACGGATTCCAAGTTTCCAACAAGGGCTGAACGGTAATTTAAGCTTCAGCAGGCATAAACGCAGCTAGGGTTTTTCTTCCACCCCACAAACGTTTTATCTCACTCTTTCAGTCTCCACACGCAAATCGGAAAACCATGGTAGGCTTCGAAATCGGCGACGTACCCTTCAACCCCGATGGCTGGGGTCCAATGGAATCCACCGACTCCTCCGTCCCCATCCTCCCCAACCACTCCGTCAACGTCCCCTTTGCCCCGTTTTCTCGCTCAGACAAACTCGGCCGTATCGCCGACTGGACTCGATCCAATTACAACAACCCTAACAGACAGAACAATCGCAACAATAATCCGGCCGACTCCGCCTTCGACTTCACTGCTGACGATTCGTTCGGCGGTGGCCTCAACGCCGACGAAGACTCTACTTTCCGCCTCGTTGATGGCAAACCCCCACCACGCCCGAAATTTGGTCCAAAGTGGCGTTTCCAGAACAACCGTAACCAGCTCCCGCAGCGCCGTGACGAGGAGGTGGAAGCACGTAAACGTGAAGCAGAAAAACAACGTGCTCGCCGTGACCGTTTGTACCATGCGAATCGGTCTGGAGGTAATAACCCTAGACGTGAGGCGGCGGTGTTCAAATCATCAGTTGACATCCAACCGGAATGGAACATGCTCGATCAGATCCCTTTCTCGACGTTCACCAAACTATCCTATAACGTCCCTGAACCCGAAGATCTACTTGTCTGCGGTTCAGTAGAGTCGTATGACAAAACCTACGACAGAACAACACCGAAGAACGAGCGCCGATTGGAGCGATTCAAGAACAGAAACTTCTTCAAAGTCACAACCACTGATGACCCCATCATTCGTAGACTTGCGAATGAGGATAAAGCAACGGTGTTTGCTACTGATTCCATTCTCTCGACGCTAATGTGTGCACCTAGGTCAGTTTATTCATGGGATATAGTAGTTCAGCGTGTTGGCAACAAGTTATTCTTCGATAAACGAGATGGGTCACAGCTAGATTTGCTATCAGTTAACGAAACTTCTCAGGAACCTCTACCCGAGGCTAAAGATGACATCAATTCTGCTCATTCTTTATCTGTTGAAGCTGCCTACATCAACCAGAACTTCTCACAGCAAGTTTTGGTGAGAGATGGGAATAAGTTAACATTCGAGGAGCCAAACCCATTTGCAAGTGAAGGAGAAGAAGTTGCATCTGTTGGGTATAGGTATAGACGATGGAAGCTTGATAATGACACCAATTTGGTTGTTCGTTGTGAGGTTCAGAGCTATATCGATGTCAATAACCAGAAATCTTTCTTGACATTGAATGCTTTGAATGAATTCGATCCCAAATATTCTGGTGTTGACTGGAGGAGGAAGTTAGATACTCAAAGGGGTGCAGTTTTAGCTACTGAATTGAAGAATAACGCTAATAAGATAGCGAAATGGACTGCTCAAGCCATTCTTGCTAGTGCTGACATGATGAAATTGGGGTATGTGACTAGGGTTCATCCTCGTGATCATTTCAATCATGTCATATTAGCAGTTGTTGGGTATAAACCGAAGGAGTTTGCTGGGCAGATTAATTTGAACACTTCAAACATGTGGGGTATTGTGAAGTCTATTGTTGATTTGTGTATGAAGTTGGGTGAAGGAAAGTATGTGTTGGTTAAGGATCCACAGAAGCCTCAAGTCAGAATTTATGAGGTTCCTGCAGATGCTTTTGAGAATGATTATGTTGAAGAGCCTTTGCCTGAAGATGAACAGGTTCAGCCTCCTGTTGAAAATGGTGATTCTGTTGTTGAAAATGGAGTTGGAGATGAAGTGGAAAGCAAGGAGGTTAAAGCTGAAGCTTAGAAAGTTGAAGCCTGAAGGTATAACTTTTTTATGATATGTGTTTTGCTTGAATCAGTTGCTTTCTATGGGGTTAAATGCTTATTTTTGAAACATTTGTTGCATAAATTGGTAAAATGACCAAACTTTTAAAAAAAGACCCTTGAATTGCTGATGAAATTGGTCATATAAACAGTGGAAAAACCTTTAAATAGCTCTTTTTTTTATCATTTCTATTGAGAATGAAATAAAAGAGATGATTATGATCTAGTTGCTAAATTTATAAGCTTAATGAAAAATTTGAACTTTGTAATGTATGTATTCAGCATGTGCAGATATCTGTAGGGTTTGATGTTTTTTATAGAGTTTCACATTAATATATACAACAATGTTTTGCTGTTATACCAATTAATGCAAACATTGTTTCAAACTCTTTACCAATGTACGCTACAATGTTTTACAGTTTTACCAATTTATGCAACAATGTTTCACTTGTTCTTTGAATTTTGCTTTTTTTTTTTAAATCTTATTTTGCATATGATATTGTCTTACTGTTTGAAATATATAATATATGCTCATGATCATTACCATTAAATATTTTTATTTTGCTTTTTAGGTAACCCACCAAACATACAAGTCATCATCTTTGAGCTGGGAACTCCATTTTTAGGGTAATTGTGATTTCTTCAAATGAAAAAAGTTGACTTAATGTGTTTTCTTTGTTTTGAATCTTTTGTCTTTCTGGGATTCTGCCCAAGTTTTTGTTATGAGGACCTAAAGTTTGTGATATTTATGCTTTTCATATGTAATGGGATTTTGGAATTTATTTTTAGATATGCATTTTCCATTACAATAATCATAATGTTTGGAGTTAGTAATTATTTTCAAGTCCGATTTTATTCTCGTGGTAACTCTTGGAATATTTTTTGTTTGTTTAACTAGAATTACAGAAATAGTAACTTTAGACATGTCCCTTTTATGTGGCAATTGGTATAGTGCAAGAGCGTATCAACCATGTGCAAATATTTGCTCTCCTTGTGGCTACTAAAAAGTAAAATGATAAAAACTAAGTGCACTTGTATGAATAAATATCGACATTGATGAACCTACTATTTCAACAACTAAAGATGTTGAGAGACCATTGTTTTGATTTGGTCAAATTGACAAACCGTTTTCTCCATCATCAAACATGTCAAAACTCACTCATCTTGCTTTGACAACGTTGTAAGTTGTGCTTATGTGTTTGATTGTGCAATAAAAAGTGATAATTATCTATAATTTCCCTTACTCGGAAGGTCTTACGACTATTGTTTGACTATGAGATGAGATCATTGGCGAAGATGTCTATTGTTTTGGTTCTTCTTACCAACAATCTTTTTCATCATCAAGCATGTCAACAAGTACTATTCTTGCTTTGACTAGGTCATGTTTAATGCTCGTGTGTTTGACCATGGAGTAAGAATATGAAAATCCACAATTGAGACTGTTATCATTTTCTTTTTTACTTTCCTTACTTTGAGGATATTATGAATTATCTACTCATGTTGACCCAATGTCTATGATGAGGTTTACCCTTTTGACAAGGTCACTATACGGGAGAATTTACAACATTTTGTTTGGATTAAACCAACAAAACCATATTTCTGGATAAAAATTACAGTTTTACCCTTTGAGGGATTACCTTTGATTGTTATAAAGTACAATGGTATAAAATGATTCTTTTTGAAGCTACAAAGCTATATTTATAGTTTATTTTGTAGAAAAGTCTCACTGATAAAAGACTGCACAGTAGTTAAAAAAAAATGTCAGGATCATATATGATTTTTTAGGTGTTTCTAGTATCAGATCATTGAAATACAATATTACATAACATAAAATCGTTACATGCATTACATAAAATTGCTACTTCAGAATGTTTAACAACCATTACTTTATAGAAATTCAAACAGGAAGAAAGAAGAATCATTACACGATTACACATGCACAAACAACTAACAATGGTAAAAACCAAAACAAATCATTATTAGTGTTGATTGAAAATGTACTGACCTGATTTTCTTTGATGTATCTCTTGCAGAAATCGTGTTGATTGAAGATGTGAAAACATTTTTTTTTCTGAATTATAATGATGTTGCCGTGGTATCTTATATAAAATCTCACTCTAATTATTTTAAGAGAAATGTGAAATTATATGTTAATCCATGAAAACGCACATTGTTTCTTTGTGAGTCGTTAGTGGAGCGTGCGTGGTTAAATTGAATACTAATGTGGGACTACAAAGTTGAAATAATGGTACACACTCGAAACTTATGGTTGTTAATGGAGCGTGTGTCGCGTGAGTTTGCATGGTTATTCAAATCTTGTTTGTAATTCTCGGCATCCCAATCACAAATCGAATAACATAATCTGAGATTAAACATGCCATTGAATAGTTCAATGAATCTGAAAAGATCTAGGAATTTCATGTTAGATTGAAATTGGCAAAGTGTGTTACCTACCTAAAATAAATTCGCAATTAGATTACGACATTCATCTTCTTAATTTCTAATTGCATTTATGGATCCTAACCTTAAATATTAATTTGGTTTAAATATTAAGGGTTGAATCAACTAACTATAATCTTATCTCTTATTTTAGATGTCTGCAAATGGTGATCTTCCTCCTCATTCACCCACTCATAATTTCACTCTATTGTCAATTCTGTTAAAATAGAAGCTTACTGGTCCAAACTATATGGACTGGATGCGAAATTTGAAGATGACGCTTTACTACGAGAACAAAGAGTATGTTCTCGAGAACCCTATTCCTGAAATTGATAAAGCAACCGCTACTCCCGAGGAACTTGCTGAATATAATCAACGTGTTGACGACGCTACTAAGGTCACTTGCATTATGATTGCAACCATGACACCTGACCTTCAAAATTTCTATGAGGACTATTGGTCATATGAAATGAATTTGGATCTTTCTTAAATGATCCACAAGAAAGTGAGGAAAAAGCGTTATGAAGTCGTCAAACGCAAATGGCATGCAAGTTGAAAGAATAGGAATTTGTGTGTGTTCATGTGCAAAAGATGCAGAGACACGTAGAAAGATTAGGGAAGCTCAATGTGAACTTCGTCAAGGAGCTTATCAATGACATGGTGCTCAACTCCTTTCCAAGTAGTTATGGTCAGTTTATCTTAACTTATCATTTGAATAATACTGTTGAGAGAAAAACTTTTGAGAAACACACTTGAACAAACGTTAGAATAAGTTATATATTGCGGAACAAGTTAATCTCAAAGGATCATAAAGCTCAAGAATAATGTGTTAGAGTTATAGAGTTAGATAATCAGATGCAAAAATATAATGAAATATAAATGACAACAAGTATTATATCAAGTAAACACTTAAGCTGATTCGTAACAAGGATTGCAATCAAACCAAGTTAATAAGTGTGATCAACTTAACGTGATTAAGTCAAGAGTGACTTGCTCCGAGGAGAGATTATGATATTTAGATAAGAGATTTAAGTATAGTAAGAAAGTAATGACAGATAAGATAAGATGAGAGAAAGATGTGTATTGCAAACTGAAGCAGAAGACTCTATTTATAGAGCTCCATGAAAGTTACAGAAGAAATAAACAAAGACTAAAAGAAGTGTCCATGCAAGGTACACTGGACAAAACATAGTAAATACATAAGTTAAAAAAACTAAGTCTTTGTTCTGGAAAGAAGGTTGCAGGTGACATCTTCGCTTCACGTTGCGGTAGAAGCAGCAATGTTGCGGTAGAGTGGTGACTTCGGATGGAGGTTCAAGAGGGTCACTTCTTGCTTCAACAATTTCCCCCTAAGTGACCTCTTTAACCTTCTCACTTGTTGAGCTTCAAAAACTTTATCAGCAGCCACCAGAATTTTCTAACTTCTCCCATCCATTTGATTCTTTGAGTGATCTTGAACTTGACTTCTTCTGTTGTGTGGTTTGATCTTTGAACCGAAGTCAGAGTGACTTCTAGTTGCCTTCGGGTCAGGCGGTGCATGGCAGTGATGGGAATAAAGTACTTGACATCACTATTAACTCTTTTGAACACAACTCCCAGTTCTGGGAAGTTGGTTGCACCTAAAGAACGTTCTTGATAACCTTCAATATAGACTTGTGCGGGATCAATTGGAGGAAGGTTGAACTTCTGAACCAGGGCCGGATGAATGTTAGCATCTATTTTATCAAAATCGCATACAGTGCATCGTAGGTACTCGCAAGCTTTTTCATACGCTATCTTCATTTTGGAGTGTTTTTCGGATTTGAGTTGAAACACTCTTGCGATTAAGAATACTTCTTCCGGATTCATACACGGGAAGTCAGCCTGTGTTCGGATGTAATCACAACCTCTTCTTGTCAACGTGTATTGGATGAAGTCTGACTTCATGAATTTATGGACCTTGTAGTTCTTGACTCCAGAAGGCCTATCACTTGACCATATGTCCTCGAATTTGGATCCATGCTTTCCATGGAACTTGTTGAGACGTTCAAACTCCAGAGGTAGTCTTTGATCATCAGGGAGACTTACGTCAAATGGTTCAAAAACTGTGAAAAACATGGCATTTGGAGAAATGGGAATGTCCCAGTAGCCATCTTCCGGAGGCTCAGCGTATGTCAGCACTGGCTTGTAGTCATCATCCAGAAGTCTGCGGGTTGGATTAACCCATGAGTTAATGAGAGTTTCATCCATGGTAGTGTCGAACCCATGGTCTCTCCAAATTTGTTCTGCGAACTTTGCCGCTTTCCAGTCCTTCTTCCTTTGCTCCGTTGCGGGGGCGTCATCGGAGTGTTCTGAAGACATAGTTGGTGCCATGTTTCTAAAATGAGGTGGGGTTTCTTGGCGAGGAGGAGATTCATGTTTCTCAATTGAATCTGCAGAGGAGATTTTTGAGGAGAAGGCATCGGAGTAGGAGGTTTAGATCGATCCGTAGTTAAAATTGGAGATGGGTGAGCTTCAGGGGTTGCAATTGGTTGTTTTGGAGCGAAGTGAGATGGACCGAAGTATGGTATGACCCGAGATTGATGGAGCTGCGGATCAGAGTGCTCACTTCCCCCTTTTAAGGAATTAACCTATTGATCCTCAAACCATTGACGGAGTCCATCAATCTTTGTGAACACATCATTGAATTAGGACTTCAGAATATCAGATAGTTGCTGATTATCAGGGATCTTTGTGTTGAACCGCAACTGATGAATGTCTGTGGTTAGCTTGAGGATTTCCTGACCATGAGAGCTTACGGTCAGGGAGCGTCGAATATTGTTGATCGTTAACTGGAGCACTGAAATGGTTGACTCGTAAGCGTTGTGAGTTTCCTCAACAAGCTTTTTGGATTGTATTGCCTGGTCCGCAGTCACAGATTGAAGTCCTGTTTTGATTGCGGTGACCTCTTGAATGAGTCTTTCAGCAGCGGCTAAGAATTCCTTGTGGTTTGCTGTTCTATTGTTGTCAAGGGCACGAATCCCCATTTCAACTTTGAGCGATAGTCGTTCAGCAGCCAGGCGTTCTCTTGTCTCTAAACGTTCAAGTCTTTCAGCAATAGACTGAGGACCGGCATCTTCGGTTTGGGGAGGGGTTGATACTGCGGCTAAGATTTTATCAACCTTTTCTTGAAGTCTCAAAAATTCCTTACGAGTAACAACCATTTTCTTCTTTTTCTTCTTCTCTTTTGGTTTGGAAGTTGAGTGCTGAGAGCCGCTTGAATCTTCATCATTATACACCATCATGAAGTTATTTGACTGAGGTGGTTGATTAACTTCAGTCATATCAAGATCATCTAGACCAAAAGTTGGTCCGGAGCTGAACTCTATTGCGGGACCGTCTTCGTTGGATGCATGAATTTCAACAGTTTGAGTGGGCTTTGAGGGACCTGCGCCACTTTGAAGAGCTTGAGCTTTCTGGATGGTTTCAGCCATGGAGGTTATCCAATCTTGAACTTTAAGGATTGTGGCCACTGTGTTTGCATTATTGATCGCATCCACCCAATACTTGGCAACTGTTTTAAGTTCCTGCTCTTTTAGTTGCTGTTGTTTGGTTTGCTGATCTTTGCGGGCCTGGAATGCCCTTCTGAAAGCTTCACACTTTTTGACTTCAGATTCAGTCTGTGGGTTATACTGAATCCAAGAGTCATCAGAATCATATCCGTCAAATCCTTTTTGTTGCACCGGGGTGTCCCCCGGGTTCATGGATCCTTGCACATTTGTGCTCACCATGCCTAAACCACCTGATTGTAAGGTAAGCAGAGTAGGATTTCCTGAGCTTCCTCAGTCTCCTTGACCTGTAGTCAAGTTTGGCCCCGTCTCAGTTCTGGCTAGGGCTGAAGAATTGCCCTGCGGTTGGGAAGGTGTATCAAGTGTTTGGATCACATAATCAAGTATGGAGCGCAACTCCTGTTCCTCAAAAAATGGAGATGGGAAGCCCTGGAGACCTTAGGGCGTTTGGAACCAACAAGATCCTCTTGGGATTCAGTTGGGGTCGAGTCTCCATGATCAGATGAAACAGACACACTTACTGTATCTGAGTGGCTGGGGAGGGTTGAAGCTAATAGGTCTGCGGGGACCCCAAGGACCACCTGAGTCTTTTGAGAGACATCGGTATCCGTCTGGTTGCGCATATGGCTAGGACTTGGGTTTGTTTTCCGTTTCTTGCGAACAAGAGTTGGTCCTGAGTCACTGTCAGATTCCTCTTCAACATGGACAGGAGAGTTTTGAGGATGAGGAGAGGATTCATCTGACACAACTGCTTTTCGTTTTTTTTGAAAATTTAACTTTCTTTGACTTGCGGTGGGGGGCTTTCTTTGAGGATACCATCTTCTTTTGTCTTTGAGCTAAGGGTTGATTTGACCGTGTAGTGGTAGATTGTTCTGCGGTACTCACTGGTCGATGTGGTTTTGTCGAGGCTAAGATGGACTGACTGGGTAGAGGCGGGGTAAAAAGATATGGGTCAATACCTTCCGTAGCCTCTATATGGTCTGTGACTACTTTGGTTTCCAGTCCAACAGACATCAACAAGTATATGGGTAAACGTCTCTGAGGTCCAAAGATAGATTGATCTTTAGAGGGTGCGTACCTTTT